GACTGAGTCCAGCACAACTAGATGGTGCCTGGCTACCACCACCAACTGCTCTGACAGGGTTCACAATAGAGAGTCCTGAGCAGAGCTGGAGATAAACGTAGAACAAAATTCTAACTCACAAAAAAAGACCAGACTTACTGGTCTGACAGAGACTGGAGAAACCCCAAGAGTATGGCCCCTTACACACTTTTAACTCAGTAATGAAGTTACTCCTGAGGTTCACCATTCAGCCAAAGATCAGACAGGTCCATAATACAAAACGAGACTAAATGGGCACACTAGCTCAGGGGAAAGGATGAGAAGGCAGGAGGGGACAGGAAAGCTGGTAATGGGGAACCCAAGTGTGGGAAGGGGAGAGTGCTGACATTTCCGGCATTGGCAACCAGTGTCATAAAACAATATGTGTATTGTTTAATGAGAAACTAATTTGCTCTGTAAACCTTCATCTAAAGTACAATTAAAAAACAAACAAACAAGTAAGCATTGCATAGACTGATAAGAGAGTACCTAATTAGCTTCATCTGATGATTAACTCTGTTATTTATTACATAAAAAAAGCCTCAACTTAAAGTGTGTACTGGTCATTTCTTGTTCCAGTACACTAGGAAAAATAAATATGGATGAATACCTCTATACCTTAAATATGTTTAAAATGAAAGGTAGTGACTTACCCAATGTATTTCTTAACTTTCAGCACTGGTGATAAAAATTAAGTAAATATTCTAATTTCGATGTTTTATCCTAGTCTGAATATTTCTATTGATAAATTTTATTGATAATTTCTATTTCTTTCACATTTTCATACTCCTTTTGACAGATTTTCCCCTTTTTTGCTCCAAAATAATACTGGATGGGTGAATCATAATTTTTCAATTCCTTCATTGTTAATAAACATACTGTGATGGTTAATGTTATGTGTCAACTTGGCTAAGCTATGATTCTCAGTGGTTTGGCAGACACTGGACTGGGTGCTCTTTCACAATGTAATATGATGTAATCATCTTCCATGATGTGATCTGATGTGATCAGCCAGTCAGTTGAAAGGGGAGTTTCCTTGGGGACGTGGCCTCTCTCCAGTATATAACTGGATCTTCTGGCAAAGCTCTCTCTCTCTCAACCCTGCACTCTTCTTGTCACCTGACCTCTGGTTCTTGGGACATAAGCCTGAGGAAGTCTCTGGCCTCCTGTCTGACCTGCGGATTTTGGACTGGCCAGGCCCTGCAACTCTGTGAGCCAGAAGAGGTCTCCAGCCTGCTGCCTGACTCACCGATTTGGGACTTGCCAGCCTCTACAATTGTGCGAGCCATTTCTATGAAGTAAATCTCTCTCTATATATTTATACATATGTTTCACTGGTTTTGCTCCTCTAGAAAAACCAGACTAAGACACACACCTTCTGAAGTTATAGAAATTCTGTCTTCTTTTGAGGAATTTAAATTTAATTTCTTCAGTTTTCTGCAGTTACACAGGTGCAGGAGAGCAGTATCTGAAATATCACAGCTCTGTAGATCTAGAGTTTGAACTTCAGGATGTAAAATCTGTAACAAACACATGATTTTGAAAAATTAGGCTTTTCTATAAAAATAAATGTTTATTAAAAATTCAGTGTTTTGGTGTTTCCTTTTGATCACAGGCTTTGGGACAAGTGGCTGATGGAAAATATAGCAAAGAATACAAAAATGTATTTGTATGGAGACAGATAAATAAAGCAAGACAAAACCAAGCCGACCTCCAGCTGGAGGTAAAGCTTCCAGTGCCTCCAAAGTCCTAACTGGGACACAGAGCATTGTGGAGACAGCTGGTGCCAAGTAAGGACCCTCGAGACCTGAGAAGCATAACCAAGGCAAAAAATACCCAAAAAAACCCAGACCCATTGCTGTCGAGTCGATTCTGACTCATAGCGACCCTATAGTACAGAGTAGAACTGGCCCATAGGGTTTCCAAGGAGCAGCTGGTAGATTTGAACTTCCGACCTTTTGGTTAGCAACCGAGCTCTTAACCACTGCACCAGCAGGGCTCCAACATAACCAAGCCAGTGGGTGCTTATTCTCTTCTGGTAGTTCCTGTTAGTAGAGACTCTACTTATATGCCTCTTTGCTCAGCAGGTATGAGTCTTTAATCACTTATAATATCAAATGTTTATAAGGTAAGCATTATCTACAATATTTACATTCTTTATTCTTATTTTTGGGAGCTAGTACAAACAAACCCAAAACCAAACCCACTGCTGTCAACTTGACTCATAACAACCCCATAAGGTTTCCAAGGCTTTTCCAAGGTTTCCATCTCTATGGAAGCAGAATGCCCCATCTTTCTCTCGCAGAGCCACTGGCAGTTTTGAACCACCAACTTTTTGGTTATCAGTTGATGGCTTTAACCACTGCACCACCAGGGCTCAGTACAAACAAATCCACAATTATTGAGTGTTTACTTGAGACCAACGAACAGAGATCAATTTCTAAGCGTTCTGAGCTTTAGTTCATTCTTGAGCTCTCTTCCTAGGGGTATTTTTCTTTCCTTTTTTCCAGAATAGGAGTAGCTTTACTTTTCTGAATATAAATAATATATTATTGTTATAAAACATTCAGAAAATATTGAAAAATTATAATAATAGTAAGGATAACTCTATTTATTGGGTCCTTGCCAGGAAGGATACTAAGTGCATTATATGTACTATGTCATTTAACTCTTTCTCTCCCTCACACACACACATACACACACATCCCTGAGAGCTTGGTCACTGCCATTTTATAAATGAGGGAATTGAGGTACCAAGAGCTTAATTAGCCAACACAATGCTACACAGCCCTAAGTAGGAGAGTTGCGATTTGAACACAGGTCTTTCTGATTCCAAAGCCCACACTTTTAACCATTATAATTAAAATTACCCATAATATCAACACCTAGAGATAGTCATTATATTATACTAGTTTTGATGCTTTTCGAATTTTACAATAACTCTTTGAAGAAAAAATGGGATCAGATCATATGTATTATAAGATGATAACTTTTTAAAAACAATTTATTGTGGTTGCATACTATTCTATTTTATGCACGTATCATTACTTATTAAATGTATCCCACATTGGCAAACATCTAAGTTGAACATTTAGGCTGCTTTAGGGATGTCAGTGGTGGTTAGTGGTAGAATTCTCATCTCCCATTTGGAGACTTGGGTTCGATTCCAAGCCAACGCACCTCAAGTGCAGCTGCTACTATTTACTATATACTGACCTACTTTTGGAGGAGCCCTGGTGGTGCAGTGGTTAAGAGCTCAGCTACTAACCAAAAGGTCGGCAGTTCAAATCCACCAGCCACTCCCTGGAAAGCCTATGGGGCAGTTCTTCTCTGTCCTATAGGGTCACTATGAGTCAGAATCGACTTGATGGCATCAGGTTTGAACTTACTGTTTACTATTAATTCAAGTGTGTAGATTCTAATTGCTTTACAATTCTATAAAGTGAGATGTTAACTTGTAGAAAACTGATAAAATGCAAATTCTTATTTTCCTATAGAGATACTTATTTTCCTATATAGACACAAAGATTTCCATTCAGCAGAGAAGATGGCCTCTGTGGTTAGTCTTATTGCCCTGTAAAACATGATCAAATTTTGTATTTAATTTAGTAATCTTATGCCGGCATTGTTTTGTGTGTATGTGTGTGTGTGTGTAGGTTTAGACAGATAGACAGATTCTCAAATCCTCTTTTGAACTAGTTTTGCATTCCTGCTACCAAATATGCCAGCTGCTGTCAAGTTTATTCTGATGCATGGAGATCCCATGTGTTTCAGAGTAGAACTGGATTCGACAGAGTTTTCAATAGCTGATTTTTCAGAAGAAGATCACTAGGCCTTTTTTCCAAGGTGTCTCTGGATGGACTTGAACCTACAACTTTTCAGTTATCAGCCAAGTACATTAACTGCTTGCATCATCCAGGGACTCTGTATTCCTGCTACTTCTTCTATTAGTGAGTTATTTAAAACTTTGGCACATGCTTACTATTTATGTGAGAATTATGTTTTTAACATTTTTTAGGATTATGTTTTGACACTCTGAAAGATTAGAGCAAAGGGGTAGTTTTTACACAACCTGATGTCCATAAAGTTAATAAACTAAATTATTTAGTAAATATAAAAAGTATGAATCCTCTCTTTCTATCAAGAAAGAAAAAACCAACTTCCCACTGCTTCTACAACAATATCTCAACATCAGGCCACCTCCCTTTCATTACTTCAATTTCCTATCTATTTTGGAAGACTCAGGTTCCTACACTGGCCTGCTGTTGTCTCAGTTTCAAGCTCACAGATCCCATTTCCCAAGCAACACATTAGCTGCTCTGAAATAGTCCTCCTAAAACCTCTGCGAACAGTTACTTTTTATCACCCCTCCCCCATTTTACAATTAACAGAACTGAAGATCAAAGTCAGAAAAAGTAGCAAAGCTAGGATTTAAATTCAGGTTGGAGGTCCTTACTATACTTAACTACCTCATAGAAAAGTCAATTAAAGGCACAGGTGTCCTAAAGGTTAGCTTAGTTTGAGGCAAGGGAGTAAAGTATCCCGAAGAAGAATGGGGTAAGTTTAGAAGAGTAATTTTTAACTGCTTATCATTACCCATTAATGAGTTATAAAATCAACTTTCATAAAGTATTGTAATCAATACTTTTTAAATGAAATAAAACATGTAATAAAATAAAACATAAAATATCAAAGTGTACAGCACACAGTATTGTTACACATATGTGTGACTTGAGTATGGGACCATGATGTAACATGTATTTCTTACTATGGATCTTAAGCAAATCGTTTTAAATGTTTTTGAAAGATGGAGATTAAGAGTGTTGGTACCATGAAGGCAAAAGGGAAATAACTGAAAGAATGGTGGGAGGTTTTTGTTTTTTTTTTTTTTGACTTTTCGGTTATCTGGAGGAAGAATAAACTGATGCTTATTACATTTAAAAATGATTACTAATCCTACTATATCCCATTGCTCCAAAAATCCGAAACCGTATCTAAACAGTAAAATCTAATATGTATGGTTTAAAGTTACACATTCTCTTACCTCACTTATATTTGAATCTGTTATCCGCCCCTGCATGCTCATTATTTTGATCAGTCTATCTTTTATGTTGGGAGGCAAAGGCTTAATGTCTGTGATATATCTGGAAATATTCTTCATGAAGCACCAAAGGCATCTGAAATAAAAATATAATAAAGTAAATTACATTGTACTGATTCCTAACACTACTTCTAATGCTTATTAACGTTTAGCCCTTACATAAAACAGGGTGTACATTTTATATTAATATTTACAACTTCAGCTCTGCAAGATTCAAAAGCCTAGTCTGCGCTCAGTAATGAACAAGATGCTCTTCCTCTAGGCTGGGTGCACTTGTGTTATAATCTCTCTTACCGCCTCCCTAGCTACTAATGGGCATAATAACTTCTAATGCACACAAAGTAAAGTATGTGCTTTAGTGGGAGATGATTGCTTTCTGAAGAAACTGAGAACTCTGTTAAGCTATCTTAATGGCGTAAAGGGGGAAGGAATGCTCCTGACGCCAGTAAATCTAGAATAGCCATTGGGAGACGGTCACCCACCCTAAGTAGGGGCAATGAATACTGTCTGTTACCCATAGGTGGCCTTCCACTTTTATTACTCCTTTTTACCTTTTATTACCCCTTTTATTGCCCCTTTCCCCTACTTGATCTCTCTACATGTTATCTGGCAGGTAGATATGGCTGTCCTCTTAGTATATTAAGCGGGGAGAGACGGGTGTCAGTGTTCCTCTTTCAAGGTGCTAAGTGGGGCACACATGCATGTGATCATAAGATCACACCCTGGGGCCAGAGCTTAACTTCAGGGAACTTGGTTGATGAGGATGTTTGCTGTTCTACTCATCCCTGTCCTATTTATTCCGTGAATGATAAACAACTGTTGATCACGCCATTAGAACAGTGTGGTCTGTGCTCTGCTTCACAGTCTTTACTAAGAACTTGTGAATATGACACCATGCACTCCACATTTCCCCCAGCATACTTCATTTATTAAAATGAATTTTAAATGAAAAAAAAAAAAAAAGTTTCTCCTAAGGCAATCTTTCCAATTCTAAGAAACAGTTACCACTATGATTTCAGTCATATATTCCTAAATAAACATACAACTGTGGCTCACTAATTTAAAAGCTTCTCTTTAATCCTACCAATTTATTTTCACTATTTTTCTTAAAATTTATGTGGGTAATGAGATCATCAGAGAAAGAACTATAACCACAAAGATTACCCAAACAGTACAAATCATAAGGAGACCAAACTAAGTGCCAGGATAGTACATGCATAACATAGAGCAGGCAGAGAAGGCAACAACCCAAAAGAGATTTAGGGATTGTCAAGACCCATCTGGAACCCTGGTGGCGCAGTGGTGAAGTCCTTGCCTGCTAACTGAAAGATCTGCAGTTCAAACCTACCAGCCGCTCTGTGGGAGAAAAATGTGGCAGTTTGCTTCCCTGGAAAGCCTACGAGCAGTTCTATTCTGTCCTATAAGGTTGCTATGAGTTGGAACTGACTCAACGGCAATGCACATCTAACCAACATATTGCATATGGGACCTAAAATTACAACTATCTGAGAAACTCATACTTTAAACAAACAAATAAAAAATCTTATTTAATTTCTGTATATAAATACCCCCACATATACAAGATTTTACATTCATGAATAAATCTGATTATATACTTGAAATTTTTTAGTGCAATCTTTATTTTTCCTTTTCCTCTTTTGGTTACAACCATCTTTTCCTCTCCTATCCCCTCCCCCCAATATATGACTGACAAAAGAAAAACAGGACAGGATGCAAATAATCCAAATAAGAAATGAAATGGGGGACATTATAACTGACCCAACTGAAATAAAAAGGATGACTATAGAGTACTATGAAAAATTATATTCCAACAAATTTGAAAAACGTACAGGAAATGGATAAATTTCTAGAAACACATTACCTACGCAAACTAACACAAAGTGAGGTTGAAAATCTGAACAGACCCATAACAAGAAAAGAGACCGAAAAGGTAATTAAGAAAAAAACTCTCAATCAGAAAAAACCCTGGCCCAGATGGCTTCATTGGAGAATTCTACAAAACATTCACAGAAGAGCTTGTACCAGTACTACTCAAACTATTTCAGAACGTAGAAAAGGAAGCAACACCTCCGAATTCATTCTATGAAGCCAACATAACCCTGATACCAAAACCAGGCAAAGACACCACAAAAAAAGAAAATTACAGACCAGTATCTCTCATGAATATAGATGCAAAAATTCTCAACAAAATCCTAGCCAACAGAATTCAGCATCATATCAAAAAAATAATACATCACGACCAGGTGGGATT